TAATCGTGACTAGTCGACTAATCGTGGCAGCCCTACTGTGGACCGTGTGTCGGTTTTTAAAAGTGGTCCCTCCCAAATTTAAATCTTTCACAGATTTTCCTTCTTATAGTTTCCTAACCGTTTGTTCTCACTTGCTGGTAAAACCCAGGTGTCGATTACATTCATGTTCATTTTAGGTAGAGACACGGCACTTGGTGATATTTGGCCTCTGGTCATAAGAGGGGCTGTCAGAGCTGCTAAACAGGGGCCTGCTGTGCTGTGAATGACTCACGCTGACTGTCTCTGTGTGCTGCAGCAGAAACATTACAGGTCACATCGCCGCCAGGACTTTCACATAAAAGAAGTTCCTGCATTTATTCAGACATGAGAGAACAAGTGAAGCTGCAGGAACATTTATGTAACAGGGGCTGAGAGGGGGTTTTGTTCCCCCCTCAGGCATTTGTTTAGAAGAGGAGCCCCCCAGATCCTGACACGTCTCCTGATCTGTGTTGTTAGCAGATAACTGAGCAATACTCCTCCAAGACACAGGGAAACGGGATATGTGTGAGACCTGCCTAAATCCCTCATCATTTATAAAAAAGGTGGGGCTAATAGAGCATAGATGCTTGTATCCTCCACCTGCGCACCTTTCGGATATGTTATGATCTGGTGTTTCCTGCAGAAATAGTTTGTGGTGGTAAACCTTGTCCTTTTCTTCAGTTTTTAACTGTTTTCTCTTTCTTCCTTTTCTCTCCAGTTTAAATGAGTAGTATATTAGTCAACAGGAAACTTTTGTAGTGTATTTATGTGTAAATAAATCATATGCACACAATAACTAGAGGATCAATATTCAACTGCTTCTTCAGTCAGTTCATGGATGGACTCCAGATCCAGGTAGTGATGGTAGACTGTATTCTGCTCAGCAGGCGAACCTGTTCTCTGGAGGTTAAGTAGGAGTAGACCGAACCTGAACTATGGTCTCCAGCTGCACGCTTTTAATCTACGAGTAAAGAAAAATCTTCTGGAGAGCAGCTGAATGATATCAGACTGTCACAACAGCAACCTGATCAGCCTGCTGGTGGGAAACACTGGAAAGGGTAGGGCTGGCTGGTTACCAACTTTCAAAATAAGAGCGAGCAAGTAAAGTCTGTATGTAGGGAAATGCTGCTCAGAACAAACAGGTGGGTACCGTTCTCTGATTGGATCAAATTATTTAAAAGTTACCTCAAAGTAAAGGATGACTTTTTCTTTTACTGAAAGGTTAAAAATAAAGCCCGTTGCTGGTTCTGCTCTGGCATCTCTGTCTTTTGTTTTTCATTTGCCTGCGATTATACATGATGAATGACACAAGCAGATCTTCAATCGCCACAATTCTAATTTGAAGGGAGAGCTGGGAATTCGAGGAGACCCTGGCAGAGTCCCCAGTGTTCCCATCATAAACGTCCGGGTAGTAGTGTTGGTGGTGGGGGGACTCCATGTCATCCTTTCAGAGCCTCAGCCATTGTGACCTTGCCAGTTTGTCTCTGTTTTCTACACACGGACGCTCTGAAAGCAGTTTTTCTCTGCAGCTCCTGGAAACCACAGACAGACTCTCAGCAGCACCCTGGAAACCAGCACAAACCCCTCGACCCTATGCTGGTCTCAGTGGTGCATCAGCTTCTCTGTGGAGTCCAGCTTCAGTGAACAGTTTGAGCACTGTGCAGGAGTCTAATATCAGGCACTAAAAACAGGCTTTAGGCTTTGTGTTTCCATTTTCTCTGACTATCAAACTGAATCATGTGACATTCATGACCGGCTTAGTCACTTTAACATCTTAGAAACTGCAAAAATGACTCGCATTAATCTTCTCGAGCTTTGAGAACTTTGGGAAAAGTCTTCATCGCTGTCACCATCAGCTGGTTTCTGGTCCAGTCTGAGCTGTCATCAGGTGACCTATATCAGCAGGAACTCTGCTTCAGGCATTGGCCCATTTCAGCATCTCACTAGCCCACTGCCATACATTATCTCTGACCCCCGACCCCAAACTCAGAGGTCTCTCCGCTGTGATGATAGCAGCAGCTGTTTGTCTCCAGCTGTGACCATCAACTTGTTTCAGACTGGAGGCTGTGGGAGTCAGTACAGTTCTGTATGGGTCTTTGTTCCCAGCCGGCAAACTGTTAGCAGTGTGGCGTCACATGTGGGACTTGTTAGGGCAGTAATGGATTCAGCAGAGGCCTCTAGTGCCCTTCAGTTCAGCCATTACTGTGCATTCACAAGGCAGATGTTTTTAACAGTGACCACATTCAGACTCGGTGGCAGCAGGAGCCAAAAACGATCCTTCAGGACTTTTGATGCAAGCGTCCCTCGGTTACTGCTTGGAGTCAGCTGATGGACTCATCTGCAGCTGTTTTATACCTGATTTCAGTGAATACTTGTCAGAAACACTAGACATCCCAAAATTTGAGGAGACTGGAGAACAAAAGGATTAATCACAGGACTGATAAATCAGCCGAATATTTCAGAGCATTCATTGATCGTCCGTGTTCTTGGACACATTTTCTCTGTGTTTACATGAAAACAAATAGCATGTCTGTTGTTTTCATTGTGGACACTTTGACCTGCTGGTGGAACTAAAACAAATCTTTTCGTGTGTGTGTGTGTGTGTGTGTGTGTGTGTGTGTGTGTGTGTGTAACTGAAATTCTTTGCATTGTTACTCAAACGTTCTACGACGTCTGAGAAAATGAGTGTGCATATTGTCCGTCTTGGCTTACTGTATTCAACATGTGAATATTATTTCGGGCACCCTAAGCACACTCGATCTTATCTGATCTTGGAACCAAAGTGGGATGTTGCCTGTTTAGCACTCGCTCATAGACCACCTGGGAACTGTGCTGTAAGCTTAGGGGTGGCTGTTGGACGTCTGTTAGTCGGAAAGTTTGATCCACACTTCCTCCGGTCTGTGCCGCAAGATGCTGAATTCCTGGTTATCCCAGTGCATCCTTAATGTGTGTCTGAATAGGTAACTTTTGTTACTTTAGTGCACGAGTGGAAAATGTAATGTGATTAGAGTAATGCAGTAATTAACCAAACTAAGTCTTTTTTAATAAGATTTGGGTGACTATTCTTTGCTGGGGAAAGACTTTGCTCAAAAGGCTACAAGTGGAAAGTCTTTTCACAGGGGCTTTGCTTCATGTCTGTTCACAACAAAATTGACCTTTTTTAAACTTTTATTTAACAAAGAGGTCCTTTAATTTTTTTAATTTATTTATTTTTTGCCTCAAGGACAGAACATGAAGAGACACGAGACAAAAATAAGGACAAATCAGGACAAACAAGTAACTGAATACAAATACAGAGCCCAGCTTAGGAATGTCAGTATCATTCTTCAGTGCGAAGTAAAATGATACATGAAGGCTGAAGGTTGGTTTCTGCCATTATCAGTAAAACCGAACTGATCATAATGGAGTTGGGGCTGATAAACGACACCAGCTTTTTCCTGATACAGAACAAAGAGAAGACTTTAGAACAAACTGCGTCTGTTTGTATTATCAGAGTTTTAAAGTGGGAAAAAAACAACACACGTCCACTCTAAAGAAATTAAAAGAGATAAAGTTAGCTTGGTATATTGTGTTACAGTTATCACTGTCTCATCGGTGTGCTGTGTTTATAGCTGGTAATACTGGAAAACAGGCCTGTCACATTCTGAGGAAGGTCCAAGTCACATTGACACAGCACTAAAAATCATGTTTTACTGTGTGGGAAGTTCAAATGAGCTGGAATTGGTTTAGAACGGCTTCTTTGAATCAAACTGTTTTAAGTCTCAGGAACACAATACAGAAAAATAAACCTGCTCATACCGGAGCTATCAAGATTTCCCCTGACAGAGGATCCGTCCTCCCCCGCTCCTTGTTGGGTTTTCCTGGGTTTTATTCTGCAGGTTGTGATGAAACTGGATTAACTTTGTTTGGTATTTAAATTATTTATTTGCAGTATTTGTAACTTGAATCTTGTTGATGTACCTTAAGTTCTGCCAGCAGAGAGTGACAGAGAGGTGAGGTGAGGAGGGCAGGGGGAGGATCCAGAGATGCATGATTGGCAGCTGGTGGGCGGGGCTTAACATGTGAGAGGCTAGACTGAGAGTTGCAGTGAATCAGACCTCACCGGAGGCGAGACACACGGCACACAGACAGACAGACGGAAAGACAGGAAGACAGGAGCTAAAATGGTCTTAAACTGGAATACACAGCGACTGACAGCACACTGCAAACATGGTAAGATCACACACTCAGTCTCCAACAGCAGTCTGCAGCACGTGTGTGTGTGTGTGTGTGTGTGTGTGTGTGTGTGTGTGTGTGTGTGTGTTGAGCGAGGTTTGTTGGGGGGGACAGGGGTGTTGGGTTTCCATCAAGGTGTATTCTGAAACATTTGTCCTCAAGTGTGTGTGTGTGTGTGTGTGTGTGTTCAGTCAGTTAAAAAGTCCTTGCAGTGACTGTGTGTGAGTGTGTTTGTGTGTGTGTGGTTTGGAGCAGAGTCTGTGTTCAGCTGAAATAAACCTCTAAATTCAAACCTCTTGAGTTCTGAGTTCAGACTCGCAGCAAAACAGAGAAAAGCAGAATCATCTGTTGGTTCAGCAGTTTAAAATGTCCATGATTGAAAAAGCAAAACAAATGCAATAAAACGAGTATGTAACAGTTCACAAAGACAGCTAAAGTGCAGTAAATAAAAGCAGCAGTAAGAGCTTTTTTGGATGCACATTTAGTTGGAGTCCCTGTCTTCACCCTCTTGTGTTTTTCCAAACTCTCAGATCTTTATTTTAAAGTTTTTAAGTGTCAGTTTGTGGTTGAAGGTTTCCATAAAAAACCAAAAAACAAACAACCCCCCCAAAATTATGTATACCAGGACCTTTGTGTGTCTTTAATGAAGAGCTGCAACAACGTGAGGGCTTTTCTCTAGCCTTCAGAGAAACCTGGGGTTAAATGTAAAATGTGGTGATGTTTAATGCATTTAGATGTTGTGGGCTGTCATGATGCTGGTTTGGATTGTACTCCTGTTTTGTCCCTCAGCTCCTCCTGAAATCGGTTGTTTGTTTTGGTCCTGTGGTCAGTGCGTCACCTCTCAGGATTTCCTTATAGGCTTTAAACCTAGTTTGGTTTTCTTACTGAGCTGTTAGTAGATTTGTAGTTTTATTTTTGCTGTCAGTTATGACTATTTAGCATCAGATGGACTTTTACCAAAGTAAGATCATTAAGGCCACAACGTCTTAAACTTACTGTAAATCCTCACACACAAGAATAATTATGGAGTTCCACAGGGTTCTATGCTAGGACCAATTTTATTTGCATTATGCATGTATTATATTATATTATTTGAAATAAAATACATTTTCATCATTGCTATGAAGATTATATCAAGCTCTATCGATCCATCAATCCACACAACACAAAGTGATTAGATAAATTGCAGGAATATCTTGCTAGCAACAAAGAGTGAGCTGCAAAGTGACTCACTACGAGTGACTCACTTCCTGTGTGGAAGCCCCTTCACAGTTAGGAAGGAGGATTATCCAGGTGGTGCTCATTGGTTAATGACTTAGTCACACGTTAGCCAGTAAGCATGCGGCTTCACTGTCTACCCCTCATTTGTCACAGCTAGTGTCACACCTAACATCAGGATGGCAATGGCACAAAAACATCTCTGCCTCGTAATGGATTTAACTGACTGCCTGTTTGTGTCATGCTATAGAAACGTTGTAGTCTGTGTGTAAAGATGGCTTCAATATGGGGGTGAACAGAAGAGTGGTTATCATTTATTTTATGGTAGAACACTTAAATTTGTACCTGTAGTGTTTTTGTAGTTTAGTTCACTCTGGGCTCATTAACTAACATTAGACCCGAGGAGCACATTTTATCACACTCAGAAGAAGGCGAGACAAAGTTTTAGTGAAAGTTCACAGTGTTAGTTTGACCTTCAGTTTGTTCCCAAAGAGCCACAGCAGCGTCCCTCCCTGCAGTACATCCCAGTGCCTGGGAAGTGTAAAAAGAAAAGAAGTGTAACAACACAAAACTGTTTGCCACAGATATCTCTGTCTTTCCCGTGAGCTCTTATTACACTGTACACTGTGAGGTTTCTCACTGCTGGCCAGAAAATTGTACAACATTCCTGTTTTTCCAGTTTTATTAAAGTGTAATAAACAGATCGCTTTGCCTGAACAAAATGCCTGGAACAAAAGTCAGAGGGTAAAAAAGTGTAGTTTATCAAAAGCTGAAGACTTTCACGTTAAAGAAGTCCTTTCTTTCAGGGAGTTAAGAGCTTCCTGCTTTCCTGCAGCAGTGAAGTAAATGAAGTGGTGTTAAAAAAGGTGTTAAAAGCTTGTCTGCATGAATGCAGGGTTCCTCCTCCAATCACATTATAATTCAGTGGCTTTATATCAGGTTCACTGGGATTTGTTTGTGGTTTGTAAGACTTAGAGGAGAAGCTGCTGAGTAAAATGTCATCTGTCGAAGCTTGGATTAACTCAAAATTAATGATCGTGATTTATTATGGACTGAAATGCTTTGCGGGCTTTCAGTGCTTCATTGTTAGACTTCAGAAATGTTGGCTCCCGCTGGAGGTTTTGCCCCTTTTCCTACTATTTTACCTGAGGACTAAAAAAATAATAAAATTTTATATATATATATATATATATATAAAAGAAATAAAAAAAAGATTTTTATTTATTTTAAATGAAATATCTAAAAATACACAGATTTCTGTGAGGTAATGTGACATAGCCTTGGCTGTATGTGGACCAGTCGTAATAAGTCACCCTTCAAAGATCCATTTTAATCCAGTAAAAGCCCTGATTGGTCACTCTTCATGACCAGAAGGCTTGAAAATAAGGCCCTGGATCTCATGTCCAGTCTGCTCCGATTGCCACAGTGCAACTTGGTAACAATGGAGATAAATAAGTGTGTGGCTGTTGTTTCAGTGAGTCACACTTTGGAGGCTGAATCACAGACACACACCTGAGCAGAGATGAAATGTTGTTGCCATGGAGGAGTGTGATTGGGTGTGTTTGACACAAAGGTGAAATATTGCGAGGCTGAAGAACACGTGCTCAGGCATGTTGGGGAACCATAAAGGTTCTGCAGGAGTTAGAACCAGGAGTCCACCAGACAGGAGGTTGTCCTGCTCAACTGTTTTTAAAGCAGAAAATCACTCAGAAAACACTTCAATTACACTACAGTCGCAGCACAGCCATCTTTGGTCAGTTTTCCAGATGTTTTGCTCCGTGTTCCTGTCTCTGAACTGAAGTTGTCCTCACCCCAGCAGCTGACTCAGACTGTGATGTTATACCATCATGTTTCATCATACTGGTCTGTAACGTCCCTCATGAATGACCCGTTTCTAACCGGGTTTATAGCAGTTTGCTTTCTCCCTGGCCTGCAGTCCTCTCTCTGTGATTAGCAGATCAACCCCTGCTGGGATGACCCAAATGGCACTATGCTGTGATGCGAATCAGTGTTTGAGATTTTGGTGATGCGCACTTATCATCATCTCCATAAACAGCCTATTAAATAAGCAGAAACGCCTAACATTATTCAACACATTCCTGCATTGATTATTTTTATTCTGTAAGATAAAAACATTTAATCTCAGCACATCACAGCTTTCATCTGACAAACTGCTGCTCTGACAGTGCCAGAAGCAACACACAGCCTGACATAACCTCTGCCGGTCTGCACGTGATGTTAGGATAGAGATAAATGCACTCTTTTCCTCAGAGCAACTGTGGAATAAGCTGTGTTTATTTAACTGGATTTAAGGTGAGGGCTCAGTACCCCCTGATCCAAACCCCGAAAACCAACCCAGCATTTGGGGCAAAAAAAGAAAAAGTTCCCGTTAACACACACACTAAAAATTATTTCAGTTTTTCCCCAAAAGCCTTTTTATTTTTCTCAAACAGTGGGGTTAGGGTTACTCCTCGTCATTGATGCCTTGGACCTCACACGGGTTAAATTGAGATATAAAGATCAGCGGACGTGTTCAGGCTCTTCCTGCGACACCGTCTTTTTACCCAGCAGACCCTTGACAAGCCCAAACGCCTCTGATTTACAGAGCCTTGAAGCTCTGCAGGAATGTTTGAGGCACTCAGATAATGGACTCGCACTGATGGAGGTTACAGACAGAAAACAAGGTGTGGTCATGGATCGTTGACATTCTTACAGCAAACATGTCACAGATAAGCCTCAGTGTAATTCAAGATAATTAGTTTGGGTGATTTAAAAAAAAAAAAAGAAAAAAAAAAGATTTCATGACATGAGATTTGGTAATACTTCCTAAAACGGCTAAAGAAATCCGCTTCCAGTAAACAGGATTTGATGGAAGAGGTTTCCATGAGCGGGCTGCTCATCTTGCGTATCGGGTTTAACACACTGACCCAGTGGGCTTCACTTAACCGCCTGATGGAAGCTGTTTTTCACGCTGCCTCTCGGGTCAGATGTCAGAGGAAAAAAGCTCAGCCTTTGAACCTGCAGGCTGCAGCTCAGCCGGAAATGTTTTTATCTCTTGGGACTCGTCAGCGATAGGAAGTGGTCGTCGTCCGCGGTGTTGAGTGCTGCGTTGTTGGGATGGACCCGCGGCGATGCGCTTCGGAGGAGGCAGCACAAAGAGCCAGTGTTCCTGCAGGTCCTCACCGTACCTCAGCACCCTGTCATCTTCCTGCCCCAGCCTGCCTGAAACATGAAGCCTCTTCCCCCTCCCTTCACCCTCAGCTCCGTCTGGGAAAACACCCCTCCATCGAAGAACACGCTACCTGAATATAACACCCGTAAAATAAGATTCCCCCCCCAGGCCAATAAATTCTCTGACCTACTTCAGTGTGAGGTGAATCCTGCCACACATGCAGAGAGCTTCAGGGTCCCTCATGTGGGATATTAGATCCATTTCATTGTTTTCCACTTACAAACTTTACATGGGTGGTCCACTGCACTATAATTCCCTACTCGTTTTAGCATTTTTGTCTTCATCTTATTATCTTCATTCATCATGCAGGATCCAAACAACACTTGATTAAAAAGTTCAGTCACAGCTGAGCAGCCGGTCCCAGCTTTTTCCTGTCGTGCATTTTCTCTAAAGGCTCTGTGGCAGGTTGCTGTCGTGGCAGTTCATGATATCATTCAGCTGCCCAGAGAGGATGCTGATCATCCTGACAGACTCCAACTCCACCACTTTGGACTGCAGCTGGTGATTCTAGGCCTGTGTCTGCTCTCATATTTGCTATCACTTATGA